TTCTATTCTTTCTATCGGCGCGCTCTCATTAGTGCAATTACAAACTTTAATATCTTGATTATCATTATGGATATCATGATTATCATTACGGATATCGCTAAACGGTAAAGGACTTTTATGTTTATTTCGATCCCATCTACCACTCTGTGGAGTATTGGAAAAGTCTCGCTGGACACCCTGTATATATCGTCAATTAATGAGAATCGATCTTTGGTCGTCACAATTTAAAATAAACTAAATTAAAGAATAAAAGAACAGTCATGTTGACTCGAGATATATTCCGTAATAACTGTCGCGTGTGTGAGATATTTTAACAAATGTGGAAAGAATAATTTTGTTGAAATATTTAAACGTTTAGCTGGATACAGATCTAGAAATAATTTTGGCGAACCATCAAAATAATTATGTAAAAATCTCAAACATGATAAACAATGCTACAAAAAGTTTTGATATTCTATAGTAATCAATTTGAGCGTCCTACTTAATTATAATATTTCGAGAGAGTCTAACAATATTATTTTAATTCAAATCTCTGTATCTAGCTAAATTTTTAGATGCCTCAACAAAACGGTCCTTTCCGTATAGACTCCGTTATAAGATCTCTACGTTGCCTAAAAACATCCTGGGAAACGGGAGCGGTCACTTCTTTAATAAATATGAACAGCGGAATAGGCGTTGACGCGCGGAAGTATGAAGCGACGAGTGAATCGAAGGGTGCGCAATGCGAAGTGAACGGGCACATTGCCGACTCCGAAAAATGCGCCAAGCGGCTGTTCCCGAGAAGAGTCGGCGGTGCACCAGGTATCCGTAGAGTTTACGTAAGCTCGGATACACGAACGAGCAGTTAGTCATGCGCGGAATGAGCCAACTTCGGCCAACTTTCACCCAACTTCCGCTGTCCGTAATTTTAAGCGGCGTGCGGTTCTCTGCCGTTTATCCGACCATTGACTTGCTGTCTCTCATCCCAGAAGAACGAAAGACACAAGCGCGGGTTCCAGGGATGCATCCTTTAAGGCTTTAAGGTACAGTAACGAGAATAAAACGGAAGAACATATTTTTGTCGGAACCTTAAATATGGCATACTCGATCCAAGATACTTCGACGTGAGAGAATTATGGGGTCTCAAAAGTCTACCTTCGTGAATAATAAATCACTTATTTGCGAAAAGAACATGAGGATCCTCGCATCGCTTTTCTCAAGCAGCAAAAGCGCAGCTTTTTACAACGTTGACCTTTTTACATAAATTTTTCTAACGAAATGTTTTTTAATATAATCATATTTTTCGCAAATGTTAAAGTTAGAAAATTAACTGTGTTTTTTATCACATCCAAACAAAAGAAAGGATTAACCGTTGGTGAACGTTGTTTTTATTTAGACAGTTTATGACATAAGCTCCACGCTAGTGATGGCAATATTTTTTAAGAGCTAGTGTTACAAATGCCCAGTTAACTCAAGACGAGGCACGTCAGAATAAAGAATATGGCTAGCTTTGTCGAGCGCTCTAACTTCTCGCTGATATTTCTCGTAAAATTCTTTGGCCTCGCGGCCTCAGTCAGCACTTTTTTGCTCTTTAGTATTAGCATACTCCTTCGCAGTTAGGCTCATGATTTACTATGAACTGCATAAAATATATATACGTATATATATGTGTATGTATACATAATGCATTACATCACGGAGAGAGAAAAATGTCGACGTGCGTCGACAACACATTTCAACAACGACATTTCACATTCCAGTTACGAAAGAATCATTCTTCGAACGACACCGACACGATTTGCTCGCTTCCGCGACATGTGTATTCTGATAAAAAGAGATACACGAATATCTTTTCTAATACATCAGTGCATGAAGAAAACAACTTGGAAAGCTGTTTGTTGTCCTACGTGCATTCCAGCGAAAATTGACGACAATATCTTTGTTGAAATAATAAAGACAATATCTCTCGCCATTAACACAATTAAATAAAAATTATAAATTAAGATATATTACGTTGACTGATGTATGAAAAGTACAATAATAATATTTAATCCAATAGTTATAAACTTTTTAAATACTTATGCAATTTGTTTTAACATTATACACTAAACTCTCAATTTTGTATAGAAATATATTAATTTCGTTCTCAATAACGACAATGCAATAAGAATAAATAGATAAAAAATTACATCAAAGCTAACAAGACAAATGCACAGAATGTCCGAAACATCTATTCTAATATTTTTAATGAATGCAATATAACGTGCCTTTTGTTCGGGAAATATTTTATAAAAACTAGTTTATTACGAATTCGGCTATTTTTGCAAACAACCTTCGTGGATATAACATTCCCTTGTCCAGAGTTCAGGAAAAAAAATATCGTTAGAGTTAGTTCACCGCAGGGGTAATATTGGACGATTCGTTTTATGCGGCATAAAGCAAAATCAAACCAACGGATCGGTGCTGCTCTTTTTCAGACGAAACGTCAAAGAAAAACAGGCCGTGATGAATTTACAGTTTCGATCGGCGAGCGCGGATAATATTTTTCGCGACATTGTGTAAACAAGAAATCTCGTCATATAGAAAAATTGTGCAAAATAGTTATGTGCAAAAGGCGTTTAAGCAAGTAAAATTTATGATAATAAAGATTTTGCGGTGCAAGTTGATTGCATTCTTGTTTGCAATACCGTCGACACTGTTAACAGATGCAGTGTCAAATATAGTAGCGTAACCAAATTTACATAAGCCCATTCGTGTTTGTATCTCGTTTACAATAATTCCATTTATCTGCATCAATAAAAATAAATTCGCGAAAATCCCTCTAGATTTTGAATCAATTGCAATTAAAAAACGGTTAATATTTCGATTCTTTCGTCAAAAAAGAATCAACTTCGAATCAACCAAAGAATTCAAACAATTGCTCGTTTAAACAAATTATATTACAATATATTTCAAATATTGCAGATAATAAAATGTAGCTATTTCTTCCATATTATATCTTATATTTCTTTTAAAATGTAATTTTTACTATCGAATCCAAAAAACAATCCAATGGAAGTTGGATTACCGCATAAAAATGAGAAAGCGTACGATTTTATTTCGAGAATTGTAAAGCTGCTCAATCATTTTTGAAACCTGTTCAATCTATTCCAACTCGACGATTCTCTGATAAACGAATAAACCACGACATGCCCC